AGATGCTAAAAGATGGAGAACTGTTTTACTAGAAGGAACACAAACACCTGAATAATCAATACCCTTGCCTAAGGTGACTGTTGTGCAGCATATGAAATCTCTCAGAGACTCACAGGAATAAGCTCCAGTCTCAATCCGATTCTTACGATACCAAAATACACATTAAAACCCATAAATGTTATTATTTTGAATTTACAGAAAGTAAACTATGAGCTTCACTCAAATTCTACTTGGAAAGACTGAATTTGTACATATTGAGTCGCTATTCCTTTGAAAGAAAACAGTCTACTCCTTTGTTTGACTTTATCAGTAGAGTTACTTAATGTTTCAAATGGCCACACATTCATTTTTAATTAAGTTGTAATTTTCACTTTCATCTTTATTTGTGTAACATAATTCACTTAGTAAAATTATGTGTATTTCAAATCTCTAACTGCCCCTCATTTTTAAAGATAAGAATTTAATTTAAAAAACTTAGGATAAGGAGCACAAAAGCTTTGTATAAAATATATAATTTTAAAGTTCAAAGTCTAAAGCTACAAAAAGCTAGCTCATTCAAATGCTATATCCTTGTAGCAATTCTGAGGCTAGTACATGACTTCAATGAATGATTAAGTTATTATCTGGATCTTATAAATTCATTCCTAATTTCTTCCTGGGCCATAATGTAGCTTCTTACATCACTGTACCTAACTTCTGGTGCCCTGCACTTACAAATCATAACCCACATCCAAATTGCAATATGCTAAAATTGGAGCTTTCGAACCAAATGTCATTCATATTGTCCACCAATCAATCTACTCTTACCAAAACTGAAACCATGGAATTAAATGGTCCAGCAAATTTGCACAGGGGTAAATGGCCAAGAAGTTATTCTTATTTTGGGCCTGGATGTATCACAGTTGAGGAAGTTAACCATTTGCTATGTTATGAGAACTATCTCTCAATAAACCATATTTGCTCTGCCCTTTAACCTACACTACATATTCTTATCTTAGGTCAGTGGACTTTGAATATTTATTTATTGCTCAGCATCTTTATATTGCCTATTGTCAATAGATTCTAATTTCCTTGAAAGTAAATTACCTCTGGCTAAATGTGAAAGACTTCGGACTTTTAAGGTTCTCTGCTTTTCTCTGTTTAGGTGACTGGTGTGGCCCAATTAACTCAGTTGGAGGTTCCACAGAGTCACAAAGAATGAAGAAAATAATGTATTATAAGGAGATTTAAGTAGTTCCTGGTAGCCAGGTTGTTTTCTTTTTCTAGGCCATATGCCCTTGCCTTTGGCCTAATGCTTTTGTTTATGTTCTCTCATTTAATACAATAATGATTTCTGTTGCTTGTACTCAAAGGACCGTGAGAAACAACTAACCAAATTATATTTCCTGATATCATGTTCCTGTTTAAAAGCCTTTAAGGATGGTCATCATGTGCCAAGGTTCTCAAAGAAGCCTGTTTGTCACAGACCCACATTGATTAGTCTTATTCTTGTCTTTTCAGCCTTATAATTTTTCAAAAATAACCTTAATTTCAGGGGCATCAAATCACAACTTTGCCGGCAAGTTTCTTTCACTCATCTCTGAAATAATAATTCATTTCTTCTGTTTGTGCTGTCCCTGTTTCCTCTAAATGATTAATTCTCACCTCCTCTTCAGTGTTTTGCTTAACTTCTTTAAGAAGTTATTCCCAATTATGTTCTCTATGTTTTCAATTTTCATTAGAATATGTCCTGGGATTATCACCCACATAAACAAAGGGGAGTAGAAAACCATATTTAACAAACAGGACTGTGGAACTAATCCACTCCAGTTTAAATCCCAACACTCTCCCTTTCTTGATGTTGGGCACAGCATTCAACTATGTATTTGTATTCATTTTCTAGAATTATTGCAAACAATAAATACTATACAAAACATATTTAGATCAGTGACTGGCATATTGTGAGTGACAAACATGTTGTAGCTATTATTCTAAAATACAACTGTAGTTGTTAGAATGAGATCAGTGCCCATAGGCTTGGTTCCCAGCTGGTAGACTGTTGAGAAGGATTAGGAGCTGTGGCCTTGATGGAGTAAGTTTGGTGGTTTGGTCTTGTTGGGAGAATAATGCTCTTGGGAGTGGGCATTGAAACCCAATCTCTCTCTCTTTCTCCCTTCCTCCCTCCCTCCTTCCCCCTCCCCCCTCTCCTTCTTTCTCTCTTCTCTCTGCCTGCTGCCTGTAGATCAGGATATGAAGCTCTCAGCTCCAATACCATGCCTCCTTGTTTCTCACCATGATGATAATGGATTAACTCTTTGAAACTGTAAGCAAGACTCCAGTTAAATGCTTTCTTTTCTTAGAGTTGACTTGTTCATGGTGTCTCTTCACTTTAATAGAAAGGTAGGTAAGACAATAACCTTACAGTATCATTTTTTTATTTCAACCTTTTAAATCTACACTTTATTATATGTTATGAGCACTATCGTAACAGCTCAATAAAATTATATTAAAGTAACATATAAATAAATGATTTTCTACAGAGTACTACAGCTTAAAAACCCTTTTTGGAATGTTGCCTCATTTCTCACACATAAACTATTAATGGTGGTTATGTTTGTTTAAAAATTATATATTTAAATTCTTTATTTTCTAGTATAATAAAATCCTTCTAGAATTCACATCTCCTTATTGGTCCCTCCTCATATATATATATATATATATATATATATATATATATATATATACATAGATAGACACAGGCATAGCATATGCATGCACATACACTACTTAGAGTGTTTTTCTTCACTAAAAAGGAGTAAATCTATGAAATGCAAAAATTAGAATTGTATATATAAATTATTTTTAAAACAAAAAATGAAGCAAGAAAAACATCCTTACTATTTATCCAGAAAAGGATAACATTGGGCATCTTTCTCATGCTCTCTACTTTATTTCTGTGAGAACTTGTCTAAATTACCTCTTGGACTATATTTATATATCTTTTTGAAGAGTACTGAGTTAAGAGATCCATCTAGAAAAGACTAATTCTTTTGGTTAACACTGAATAATAGTCTCAAAAAGTTGGGTTCACGAACCCATCACAAATCACTTAAATTTCTTTTGCCCACTACCATAAAGAAACAGACTTTTACATGAAGCTATAGTGTTAGTAACATGATTCAAAAAACACAAGTATGAAGCTTTCTAGAGTTTGCCATAAAAACTAATATTTATTCCTAACAGTAGTTTAATATTCAAAGTAATCAATGCAAATATGGAAACATTTTTCATACACTGTCCAATATAATTTTCATTGTAAACTGTATAGCTCATTGTTATAGCTACATCTTACACATAGGCAATCTGAAGTTTAGGGACGTAGAATAACTTAGCACAGTTTTTACAGCTTTGCCACTTAGGTCAAAGTTCCAAAGTCTGCACTTTAAGCATCATAGCATACTACTTTTAATAAATGATATTACTTGAAGTGCCAATACTATGATATGAGTTTTGATATAATGTTTTTTTTTCCTGTACCATCCCAGTACAGATGCAAAATGCTCAGTAACGGGTCTGACCTAGATTATGTATAAAGATACATATAAACCAGTAAATCGTGACTTAAGTTACAGTTATTAATACAAATAGTATACATATCAAGGAAGAATGCAGGCGTAAGATTCAGACAATAATCAGAATACTTCTGATATCTGTTAGGTGTACGGGACACCTATGAGTCTCAGGTCCTTTTTCTGGAAGATAAAGGTGGGTACAAATAAATGTTGCAAAAATGTGTAAATTCATATGTATAATAATTAAATCTTTTATTATGTAATTATCTATAACTATATGGTAAATGTGGATGGAGGTGCCTTTTATGGGCTCTGAATTCACAAAGATGAGGTGAATGACTTGACTATGGTCATGTCCTTTGTAATCAACTAGAAAAGCCCACAATTGTGTTCTTAAGAGTACAAGGTACTTTTTAAAAATTGTTTTGTTTTGATATTGTTAGGTCTTCTATACAACAGAGGCTGGCCTTGAACTCAGAATCTTCCTGTGACTATTAACCACCACATCAGTTTCAAGGTAGTTTAAATGCTACTTGTTTCTTAATCATCAAGTTCGTTTTATTGTTCCCCTATTTCTGACTTGCTCCTTCCTTGACTTTCAAAAGAAAGAAAACAATTCTGTAACATCCAAACACATTCAGTACAATTTATTGTTTCTTTAGCAGTTCTTCAGTGCTTTTACAAGTGAAATGAGTACCATGTATAAAACTTTCAAAATTGCATTTTGCACCCATAGAAAAAGAAAAGACATATAGCATAGTTGTAGCATCCAGGTAAAGTACATTTATAGCAATGAATTCTCGAGTTTCAAATTGATTGGGTAATTTCAGTAAATGATTTTCAATGATGGTGAGAAATGAGATGCTGAATTATTAAAGCTTGCTTATTTGAATATGGGGAAGCATAAAACCTAATACTGAGATCCAGGGTATTTAAAATATGTTGTATTTTGTACTTGTCTTATTTATTTCTAACTCTCAATTATCCTTATGACTTGAGGTAGAATGCTGGTATAGGCAATTCAGAGAAGTGGATAATAAGCAAGTCCAAGATTATTATCTCTATCTTTGTAATATGTTATGGCTGAACAGTGCCAAAACAAAAAATTTAAATGTAACCAGCTCAATGGAGCAAATTATTTTGTAGTAAAGATTAACAAAAACACAGTTATTTACATAATTTAACGGAACCACCTATACTTATAAGGTTTATATGTTTGGACCTCATTTCTCCTTTCCCCCTTTAAATTATGACTCCTTCAGACAATTGATTCATGCCTTTGATCGTATTTAGCTTGTCAGAGTAGAGCGTGGAGCGTGTTTGCTAACAGAAAATAAGGTAGCCTAAAAACTGGTGGTAAGTCATAAAAAAGAGGGACATGTCAAGTGAAAATGTGCACTTTAAAGAAAAATCTCTTACAGATTTTCTACTTATTGTTTTTATCCATACCTTTTGTTTGATGATCATCTCATTGATGTCCTCGAGATCACCCACCATCACTCTCTGTGATTTTATAACTCGATCAAGCAAAGAAAGCCATTCTGTAAGTTCTGTCCAAGCTCGGTTGAAGTCTGCCAGAGCAGGCACCTCCAACAGCAAAGAAGATGGCATTTCTAGTTTGGAGATGACAGTTTCCTTGGTAACCACAGACTGTGTCACTAGAGTAACAGTCTGACCAGGAGCTAGTGTTTTTGAAAGAAGGAAGAAAAGAAGAGAGAAAATTTGAGAAACATGCAAACAAGTCACTTTTAGTAACAATAAAGAAATATTAGTTGACAGCCAACAGTTTGAGTCAGTAACAATAAGGAAACATTTGTTGACAGCCAACAGTTTGAGTCAAGACTTCTCACAATGTATCTAGCAATGCGGATACTTTATAGAGTATATATCAGAAAACATTTAAATGTTTAATAATCTTTAAAATTTTTAAATTTATTTTCATGCTTTAAAAATTTAATTTTTTCAGTAAGAAACATATAGTTTGTGAAGTTTATAAACAAAACTATTGAGATATTTCTAGGTAAGACTTACTTATTTATTGACCATTCAAAGAAGAAAATAAAAAACTAAAGATTGTATAAGGTCATATTTCTGATTTCAGATTTTCTTGAATAATAAAAGTATTTAGTGGGAAGAAACTCTCTGCATTTTACAGTGGGGACACTTCACATTTTATCTTCTGGTTTGGCAATAAAGTAGTAGATAATAAAGCAAGGTCTATTATTTTTTAAAAGTGATAGCTAGTAAAACTTTTCTTTTTGATATAAAACACTATTTCGAGATCATTAAAATCCCAAATTAATGTTAATAGTGTTGAATACTTCAATGGATACATGGAGTCTCCTGGCGAGACACATGGGTGAAAATCCTGCTGTCTGCCTTAGGAACCCTGAGCCCTTGCTTAAGTTATTCAACCTCTCTAATACTGAGCTTATCTCATCAACGAAGGAAGAAAATAACAGAATAAATGTCACAGGGGAAGTCGTCTGGACTCAATGACAAAACAAGAAATGTAAATACAGCAACGCCACACAATATCATCATCGTCGTCGTTGTCGTTGTCATCATTGTCATTATCACAGTATTAGTGAGGTGCTAATAAGCTCATCATTAATGTTAAGTATTACTATTTTATAATTACTTGGTCGATTATAAAATACTTTTAAAAATATGGTGACAAGTGAGAGATGAGGACTGAAGACATGAAAAAATTGGGGAAAACTCGGTCTGCTGTTTGATTGCTGCCCTATATTAACTAAATGATGCTGAGATAAATTTTCCGGTGTGAAATGATGCTTTGGTAACAACATAGAGAAGGATGATCAGAAACCAGTGCCAAAAGGAAGAATTCGTTAATCTGTTTTGCAGACAAATGTGACAGCATCATTATAACCTGGAGAGCCGCAGCAATGAAATACTGGATTAAGTGGTTCAGAAGGGAAGCATTCGGGAAGCACTGGAAATGGCATCTTAGTGGAAGATGTCATAGGCGTGTACAAGGGAGTTATTCAAAGCACATCAAAAATGTGCACATGTATACTCTGAGGTGACAATGCATTCATTTCAGTTGACTGCATTATTATTCATACTTTTTTACGTGGTCTCCTCATTAAGAAGATGGGAGAGGTAGAAGGATGCTTCTTCTCTTTCTAATGTCTAGGGAACATCCAGCAATTCCCACAGACAGAAGAGTAAGGCTGAATGAAAAGTGTTGCAGGTGTCAGAATTGAAACATAATACATAAAAGTAGTAAGGAGAAAGCTAACACTGAAGAAATAAGAAACATTGTTTCTCAAAGTCATCACACTACTGAGAGTGTTTCTGAAAAGCAGGAAACCTAATCTGAAGCAAAACGATCATCTTGTGATCTATAGTACAAAGTTATTCATATACTGGCACTCTCCTCCCCTACTGTAAATTAAGTTTAGATATTATTCAAGAAATCTCAACCAAGGAATTCAATCCTCAGAAATGATATATGGGTATGGTTGAGAGGAAAATTAAAACCTAACTGTAGGAGCTTACTGTAGACCATTAGGTGAACTGGAAAGCATGCTGCTAAAATAAATACACACTGACTTCTAGCAGCATAAAATAGACTGTCAAGGTTTTCTTTCAAGCACCCCCTTCAAGTCTCTTATTGTTTGAAAATTTCATACATGGACATAATTTTTTTAAATTTATTTATTTATTTATTTAGGATTTCTGCCTCCTCCCCACCACCGCCTCCCATTTCCCTCTCCCTCCCCCGATCAAGTCCCCCTCCCTCATCAGCTCTAAGAGCAATCAGGGTTCCCTGACCTGTGGGAAGTCCAAGGACCGCCCACCTCCATCCAGGTCTAGTAAGGTGAGCATCCGAATTGCCTAGGCTCCCACAAAGCCAGTATGTGCAGTAGGATCAAAAACCCATTGCCATTGTTCTTGAGTTCTCAGTAGTCCTCATTTTGCATACAAATGGATGGAAATAGAAAACACTATCCTGAGTGAGGTAAGCCAGACCCAAAAAGAGGAACATGGGATGTACTCACTCATAATTGGTTTCTAGCCATAAATAAAGGACATTGAGCTTATAATTCATGATCCTAGAGAAGCTAAATAAGAAGGTGAATCCAAAGCCAAACATATAGGCATCCTCCTGAATATTAACCTTCATCAGGCGATGAAAGGAGACAGAGACAGAGACTCACATTGAAGAACCGGACAGAAATCTCAAGGTCCAAATCAGGAGCAGAAGGAGAGAGAGCACGAGCAAGGAACTCAGGACCGCGAGGGGTGCACCCACACACTGGATATAATATTTTTTAACTCTGCCACATCTCATTTCCTCTCCTCAAATGCCCCCTCTACCCTCAATCACTTTTTCTTTCCAATTTTAAACGCTGGCAAATCCTCATCTCTTCAACAGACCATGGCAGCCCCACTAAAGGCAGATAAAACACCTTCCACAGTATCACATTTTATCTCCCCTTTGTGGGCCCAGGGAATAAAACACAGTTGCCAAACACACACACACACACACACACACACACACACACACACACAAAAGCAGAGTTCATTTGGGCTGTGTGTATGTGTGTAATAAGATCTGCTGGAACATGTGTGATCATGAGAGGTCACAAACTTGAGGAGAACACACACACTCTTCCCCCCCCCTCTCTCTCTCTCTCTCTTCCTCTCTCTCTCTCTCTCTCTCTCTCTCTCTCTCTCTTTCTCTCTCTCCCAGGCATCAATTGCCAATAGCTTCTTAGTTTCTCAGCTATGGGTGGGAATTTCTGATCATTTCATGACTCTTTCCTGGGATTTTGACCTGTCTGATCATGTACAAGTCTTATACACATAGTCATAACCACTGTGAGTTCATGTTTTCAATGGACCTACTCTACTCCCTTAAAATACAGTTTGCTGCCGAACTCCGTAATCATTATAATTTTTCCACTCTCTCTTCCATGAAGATACCCAAACCTTCGGGGGGAGAGGTATGGTAAAGATGCACCATTTAGAGCTCATCACTACACAGACTCTTATTCTGTGCCTATTGGCTAGTTGTGGGCCTCTGGATCTAACACAAAAAATTCTCTAATGAAAGTTGAGATATGTACTATGCTATGAATATAGAGATGTATATTTAGAAGGTAGTTATAAACTAAGTTCATTTAGCAGAGTGATAAGTATTGGGTTCTCACCAAAGGACCTATGACCTAGGCAGTCACAGGTCCCTCATCTAGCTAGTACCATACATGAGTTCTCTCTCATGGAGCAGACTTTAAACCTAGTTGTTACTATCCATGCTACTATTACATCTGTAGACTTATCTCTCCAAGCCATTCATTATTTAGCTTATAGCGTCATAGCTGTATATTCTGACTAATCCTATTTCTCCCCCAGTAGCATACATAGACACTTTCAACACTACAAAACCTATCAAGGTAGTTGATGGAAGACAGGGAGTTAGTGTTTTTTAAAGGTGTGACCTCTGATAGGTGTAACAAGTTCCAGTGGAGACTCTGTCAAGAGTACATAGACAGTACTAATGGGATTCAATGGGTTATTTTTAAAACAAGGTGGGTATGGAATAGGAGGTTAATCTGACAGGAGTTGTAGCACAGAGGTGGTTGAATACCATCAAAATATAATTAATGAAATTTTCCGAGAATTAATTAAGATATATAGTTACAAAGCCCATGTTCATTAAACATTTTGGTATACATAAAGTCTTCTATATACAATGAATCCTAAATTTAATAATTAATTGTAAATATGTTTCTGGAAGGGCAAAATGTAGACTATGTGTAAGCGTTTTGCTATTTAGATTTTAACTATATTTAGAAAAATATTTACTGTATTTTAATTTGTGTATATGTGTGTTACATAACTTCTTGATATGCTATAGCAAAGGAAAGTGCTGAGAGAAAAGCCCATCTGTCATACCTACTGTTGGAAAAATAATAGAATTTGATTTACTGTATATCATAATATCTCCCTCTTAGGACAATTCCATGAAGTCAGTAATATTCTTATTGTTGCATAAGTAAAGACTAAGGCTGAAATGTTCACTTTAGCAACAATGCTAGAATATTGCCCTTCAACATGCCTAGAAAATTATAGATTACCAACTTATTGCTGTGTCTGAACAAATGGTCAAGCCAACTATCCAGGAGAAAGGTGTACTATCATAATCACACAGTGTAACTAACTGAAACCCAATATTGTTTAAATAATTCACCTAAGGTTACACAGATAAGATACAACAGAATAAGTGTTTGCAAGCCCAGCAATCTAGACTTCCAATGTTTTTCTTAAAGTGATTCCTGAATCCTGGTTCTTTTTCCAGCTTAAATAAAGGTTGATGAGTTGTCTCGATGAGGAAAGGAACTCTCACTGAGCCTGATAACCTGACTTTGATCCCTGGGGCCCACATGCTAGAAGAAGAAAGCTTACTTCCACAAGCTGTACACATTCATCTGCTCAATTGTCAAATCTTGATTGGCTCCATGGTAGTATTGTGTTCTAGAATCTATATTCTGAATTTTCCATTCACCATTCTCGCTTACAATTGATTCTGCACCATCCAGTTGACAAAGGTCATCAGATACTTTTATGTCCTTCCACCT